TGTGTGGGTGGTGTTGGGGTGTGTGGGTGGTGTTGGAGGATGTGTGTGGTGTTGGGGATGTGTGTGGGTGGTGTTGGAGGGTGTGTGGGTGGTGTTGGAAAGGGGTGTGTGGTGTTGGGGGTGTGTGGGTGGTTTGGAGGGTGTGTGGGTGGTGTTGGAGGGGTGTGTGGGTGGTGTTGGAAGGATGTGTGGGTGGTGTTAGAGGTGTGTGGGTGGTGTTGGAGGGTGTGTGTGGGTGGTGTGGGGTGTGTGGGTGGTGTTGGAGGGTGTGTGTGAGTTGGTGTGTGGGGATGTTTGTGGGTGGTGTTGGGGAGTGCTTGGTGGCATTGGGGGTGTGTGTGGGTGGTGTTGGGTGTGTGTGTGTGTGTGGGTGGTGTTGGGTGTGTGTGTGTGTGGGTGGTGTTGGGGGGTGTGGGTGTGGGGTGTGTGTGGTGTGTTGGGGTGTGTGTGGGTGGCGTTGGGGGTGTGTGTGGTGTTGGGGTGTGTGGGTAGGGTGTGTGGGTGGGGTGTTGGGGGTGTGTTTGGGGGTGTGGGTGGTGGGGGTGTGTGTGTGGTGTTGGGGGTGTGTGGGTGGTGTTGGGGTGTGTGGGTGGTGGGGGTGTGTGGGTGGTGTTGGAGGGTGTGTGGGTGGTGGAGGGGGTGTGTGGGTGGTGTTGGAGGTGTGTGTGGGTGGTGTTGGAGGGTGTGTGGGTGGTGGTGGTGGAGGGGGTGTGTGGGTGTTGGAGGTGTGTGGGTGGTGTTGGGGGTGTGTGGGTGGTGTTGGAGGTGTGTGTGGGTGTGTGGGGGGTGGTGTGTGTGTGGCTGTGGGGTGTTGGGGTGCGTGGTGTTGGGGGTGTGTGGGTTGGTGTGGGGGTTGTGTGGGTGGTGTGGGGTTGTGTGTGGGTGGTGTGGGGTTGTGTGGGTGGTGGGTGGGGTGTGTGGGTGGGTTTGGGTGTGTGGATGGTGTTAGGGGTGGGTGTGGGTGTGTGGGGGGTGTGTGGGGTGGTGTTGGAGAGGTGTGTGTGGGTGGTGTTGGAGGTGTGTGTGGGTGGTGTGGAGGGGGTGTGTGGGTGTGGTGTGGGGATGTGTGTGGTGGCGTTGGGGGTGTGTGTGTGGGTGGGTTGGGGGGTGTGTGTGGGTGGGTTGGGGGTGTGTGGGTGGCGTTGGGGTGTGTGTGGGTGGTGGGGTGTGTGTGTGGGTGTTGGGGTGTGTGTGGGTGGGGTGTGTGTGGGTGGGTGTGGGGTGTGTGTGGGTGGTGGGGGTGTGTGTGTGGGTGGTGTTGGGGGTGTGTGTGGGTGGTGTTGGGGTGTGTGTGTGGTGTTGGGGGTGTGTGTGTGGTGTTGGGGGTGTGTGTGGGGGTGTGGGGTTGTGTGGGTGGGTGTTGGGAGGGTGTGGGTGGAGTTAGAGAGTGTGTGTGTGTGTGTGGGTGGAGTTAGAGGGTGTGTGTGTGTGGTGTTGGAGTGTGTGTGTGTGGTGTTGGAGTGTGTGGTGTTGGAGAGTGTGTGGGTGGTGTTGGAGGGTGTGAGTGGGTGGGTGTGTGCACACACAGGGTTGTGTAATGCATCTAGTGTGGCAGCATTATGTTAGCATTAAGGTACAAGAGCTGCTAGCTTCCTCTCGCTTTCAACTACCGCTGCTGGCTGGTCCTCGTGGTGAACAGGGAAGCAACTTGCATAAATTTTCCCCTGCCAGTACACAGCCTCTTCACCATCAGGTCTCCTTTTGTGCCTGCTCATGGCAACACACAGTAACTGGGTGCCTCGTAGGCCCAGGCAAGACCAGCAGGGGATCTCAGAGTAGCAGTGGTTCCCAGAGGGACGGCGCATAGGCCTACTGGCATGTGAACGCGTCCTGGCACCTACCAACCATTGCCCCACTGCCTTGCGGATGAACCTTGGTCGGTATAAGGCTACTGGAGTAAACCCCAAACAAAAAATCTGCGGTGCAGCCCCGCATCAGGCAGACATGCTTACAGAGCTCCAACAAGACCCCAACAGCAGTGTAGGTAGAAGAGGTGACCACCATGGAAACCCAACGACTACACCGGCAGACGAAGGCAATGCATGATGGACAGGCTACTAAGGCGAAACCGAACAAACTGGGCTATTGGCAGTCCATTGCAACTCTCCCTCTCCCCATTGTTGCAACACTTGCACCACTGGATCAGGAAAAGGGAGAACCAAGATGTATGGTTGCAGTCAGCGTTCCTGCCTCACCACATAAATCAATTCATGTGCAGCCATCACCTAGCTCATCATACTCCTCATCATCATCAAACCTTTATACCTCTTAAGTCCCATGGCAACGGACGAGTGGCGACGAGGACAGACAGAGATGACTGCTGAGAGTCTCTAGTCACAACTCTGGACATGGGCGGCATACATATGATGGTCGTCTAGGCACTGGGATCTAGGCAGCAGTGCAATTCGGTCCCGTCTGTGCAACTGAGCAGCCCTTTCGAGAAACTACTCTGCTCATTCCACATGGGGAGGGGCTTAGAAAAGGTGCCCTAACATAGCCTGCCTTAAAAAAAAAACCTGACTGGGCAACCGCACGCAGTATGGTCATCCTTATGCAGTTGAAAACACAATCATAGTCACATATCAAAGCAAAAACAAATTATACAACCTCTTATTGTAATGGCCCCTGTCTCATCACCAGAAACATTATATAAATGGGTCCCTTACATTTGATTTATATTCAAATTTACCCCCTGTAATTTTCCACTAACTATGAGGAGGTCATGAACTGATCACGTGAACGGTACCTGGCCAAGAGGGTGAAGCCCATATGTCAGCCAGCAACTATGTAAGCGTGCACCAATGCGACGCCCATTACTCAGTCTCACTCACTACTTAATATCGAACGGACATTGATTCACGTCTACTGTATTTACATAGACGCCGTCCCTTTCTCACCACACTCATTAATAGTGGAACTTACGGTTGATCTACACCCAGGAATTATATACATAATACTTTTTAATAAAACAAGTAGCTTCAATTGGGTTTCGTTACTAAAGCCCAATATAATATATGTGAACCAAACCTGGTTAACTTGGAGTTAACCAGCTGTTTCATATACAGTGGGGTATGCTACAACGAACGGATCCTACTACGAATATTCCTATAACGAACGGTTTTACCTATAAAATTGAGAATGCTATAACGAACGCAATTCCTACAACGAACGCGGATGAATACGGGACTATTTCGCCTGGCGCATGAATATTGTTGTACCGCGACCCACAACAAGAGCGTCAGGCGCCATCTTTGTCTCATTGTGTAGCCAGTGCACCACTGTTATTGTTGAAATTTCGTCTTTTGATGTGGAAATTCGCGTTATTTGTGTAACTACAGTAATTAAAAAATAATTAACAGGTAATTAAAATATAATTTACAACTGAATATTTACTGTCATTTATTGTTATAGTGAATTTCAAATTATCAAGGGTACTATATCTTGTTGGTGTAATGATTAAAAAATATCCCAATTCAAATAATTTATAAGGCTAAACAATAAATTTTTGCAAAATACTTACATCTCCTCCCCGACTTACGACCTACTCGATTTACAACCACCCGGACATACGACCGCCTCAGTCGTACAAAATTTTTTTCAAATTACGTATTTTCGAGTCCCAATGTCAGTGATTGCGCTGTGTACAGTACTGAAACATTTTTCGTTTGTAATTCACTTTAAATTGGCTGGCAAGTGTAAAAGTGAGAGTTTTGTGGTGCTGAGAAGAAAAAGAGACACCCTATTTAGATTTTCTATTTATTATTTAAGCATTTTCGACTTACGACCTGGATTTGGGTCCCTAACCCCGTCGTAAGTCGGGGAGGAGTTGTACTTTCATTTACCCTATATGACCATGGTTGAGATGATATACAGTGACCCCTCGTTTAACGAACACCTCGGTTAACGTAATTTCAATTAACGAACTGCCTTCCATAAGGATCTTCAATTCGGTTAACGAAAAAAATTCGCTTAATGAACTTCTTACGAACCGACCTCAACATGTTTTCGCTTGCACTGACCCGGCAACCAGCTTTAGTATCAGTCCGCCAATACATTAATCGGTTCTAGGGCTTAAATTCCTTACTATTTTTGTAAATATCAAGAAGCTATACTATTCAATAATTTTAAAAGTTTAATATTCAATTTTTTAGTCATTTTAACAATTATTGAACAAAATTGAAGGTAAAGTGACTAGTTTAATGTGGGGCATCCAGCCTCTTAACACAGCAAACAGGCATTAGTCTCTCTCTGTTTTCACTGGAGGTAACATCTTGCTTGAGACTCTCTTCAACTAAACGCTTTTTTTCTGTGTTTCCAAGCAAATTATTGGTCATTTTGAAATATATTTTATATATTGACAATATATAATGCAGTGCAGCGTTGATTTAAAGAAAATAATCTTGAATTAAACCAGAGAGCTAAAATTTTATGGGTGAAATGGCACCATGGGGTGACTTCTCTTCCACCCCAATGCCTTCTCTTCTTCCTTCTCCTCCACCCCCATTCTAAATCCCATCATCATCCTCATCATCCAGGAGCCTTCTACATACACACCTCAAAGTAAGTGAACTTTTCTACCATTTTTGTTGAATTTAGGAAATTTTCGGTGAGCTGGAACCAATTACCCAAAAACCCATTGAAACAATGGTTTCGGTTAACGAACGTTTCGGTTAACGAACGACCTTCTGGAACGGATTGAGTTCGTTAACCGAGGGGCCACTGTATAGTAAGTTGTGATCCACCCACTTGTCACTACAAGTGGCAGCTGGGGATCACCAAGGTTATTGTGGGAGAAACAAGTGATGTCTGACAAGCGCGAGTTTTGTAATTAAACATCAGAGGCCTTTGGGTAGCACCCATTGTAAATTTGATCCTAGCCATCGCATAGCGGTATTTGGTGATAATTTCTTAACATCGCAAAACTGATTAATCATATAATGGTCAACACCTGTGCATTCAAGCACTCTCAATGGAATACTTTTATGTTTAAATCTACTTACCGTTGACTTTTCTCCTATCCAAAAGAAAATTTTCCATTCTAGATTCTGCGAATCATCCATACTAGTCTTGAGGATGATGTAACAATCTCCTTCATAAAATTTGCCGAAAACAGATTCATCAATCTGGTTCGGAAGGAAATTTTCAATCTCCCAAATAGTGAGTCCTGGAATTTGACCTACATCTGTGTCAAAGAACTCGTGGTAGTTTAGTGGTGGACGTTCTAGAGCTTCATCCCAACGCTTTTGGCTGTAAAGGAATATAAATATTTTTATAAAAAAGTTAATAGTTTCATACTTCAGTTCTCATAACAGTGGTCTAAACCTATACTACTGTACAACAAAGGTTTATACCCAGTAATTCATAAACTCGTATACAGATAAGATAATTAACCCTTCACTACGAGGACGCCACTTGTAACATTTTATTTGGCTAATGCCAGATGATTTTATTCAGATGAGAGGCATCCCCATACACAAAGGGTAATCATAGGAAAGATAAATAATAATATAAACTACAAATGTATCTGGCTTACTGTGTTTCCTGTCAAAAGAAAGACTGGTATATTGTATGTTATAGATGGATAAATATATTCTGTATAGAGTACAGTACCTGTACTGTGGTATAACTCATTCACTATTGTATCATAGCAGAATAAGATTAACGAATGGCAAAAAAAATTATAAATATTACTGAATTGATCTGGGAGGGTTTGTACTGAACTAAGCGGAAGTTGATGGTGAATGTGAGCCAAAATAAAGTGATGAAATACTTAAGAGAAGGGAGACAAAAATGTCAAAGCTAACTTCACTGGTGAAATATGTAAAATGCATCAGATATCTTGGAGTGGATATGTCAGCAAATGAAACAATGAGTGATGAATTGAACCACAGAGAACCAAAAGAAAAGAAAATATTATATAGATTGATAAATTAATGGATATAGATAACTAACTATATCATTGGAGGAAAAAAAATCGAATATACAGAGGAAGTATTGAGCTGACACTATTATATAAGTATGAAACATAAGCTTGGATGTAAGAATGAGAAGCAAATTGGAAGCAAAATATATGATGAGCTTGAGAACAATATGTGGGATATATAGGAAGTAAAGAAAATGATACTGTATACAGAAATAGGGATGAGATGTGAAAGTGAAATATGAATTAAGCAGAGGGTAGATAAGGTTATTCTTATGTGATATGGACAAATTGAGAGAATGGGAAGTGAAAGTTTAGTTAAATAAGTACATCATTCATAGGTGGTAGGTAGGATGGAAAAGAGAAGACCAAGATGATGGAGGGAGGGAGAATGGACAAGAAGCAATCACATACAGTATACTGTAGGTGTAGGTTATGTATCTATGCTACTGTGCCGAGTAGCAACCTTGTAAATAAGCCACTGTGCCAAGTAGCATTTATATATGTAATTACGTGGCAACACTGCACGTGTTATGTGGCAACATTGCCCCGAGGCTGCCATATGGCAAGGCAGTCTCAGTCTAACTCTGTGGGCCGTGCATGGCATACGCTAGTCACCACTTGAATTTCTCCTATCCTTTAATAAATGGACTTCAGTGTTACCCGGTGTTTCCTTACCCATCACTGCCTTCTTCAGGGAACACTTGGAACCTTCATGGCGCAGTGAGTAGTATCTGTGGACTTACAAGCGTGTGAACAATGCTGACGGTTACATCTGCCGGCGATGTGCGCGTCGACTAGTGTGTTGTGTTGTGTTGCGTTGTGTTTCGCTGCGACGTGCAGTGTTGCGCTGTCACAGTGCTTTTTAGTGACGGTGGCAGTGTTAGTGTCAGTGTATTAGTGTGTCTAGAACTGAGAGTTGAGCATTGGCCTCTTTTTTGTGGTACCCACGGAGCACGCAGGCGTACACCCTTCTCGTGTGACATCCGGGGAGATACTGACGGTCTTGCCTCCGCGGCCACGCACGCACGCACGCACGCCGCACGCACGCACGCACGCACGCACGCACGCACGCACGCATACACACACACACACACACACACACACACACACACACACACACACACACACACACACACACACACACACACACACACACACACACACACACACACACACACACACACACACACGCACGCACTCACTCACTCACGGACAGAACAGTGGACTCTATGCATTATTTCTGCGCTGTTTATGTCATATATATGTGGTTCGAGCTGATGAGGCGCCACTTTATATACTAAATAGCGCAGTTCAAGCATACTAAGATGGGCGGTAAGAAGGAACAACGTCAAGATGGGAGACACGACTCCCCACCACCTTCTCCTCTACCGGGCGCAGACTCTCATCCTCACCTACAGCGACGGACATTGCCACAATTCTGAGGTGGATGGACTACAGAGACGAGAGACGCAGAGAAATGGAACTTCAGAGGGAGGAGACACGAAGAGAGGAGGAAAAGGCGCGCTTTGATGCAATATTGGCGACCCTGGCGCTAACCCACCCTCCCTCACTCGCGCACCAAGGCGCCAGTACCCTCCCTCCTCCACCACACCAGCGCCCTCCAGGTACTCTTGCTACTCCAACAGCTCCCAAGGCATCTGTTCAACCCCCACCCGCCCTCTCACCAGACGTCACGTTTCAGCTTTTTCGTGAGTGGAGGCGGCGTTGGACAGATTACTCCACGATGGTGGACCTTGAGCATGCCTCCAAACAAACAGCTCATCCAACTGCGGATGTGTTTGTCGCTGGAGACCCAGAGAGTTTTGGAGCACACGTTGCAAGTGCCTCCCGATTCTACCTCTTCAGTGACGGATGTGCTCGACCTTTTGCAGGAGCATGTTAAAGGTCGGAATAACGAGGCTTTGCGTCGCCGCGCCTTCACCAGCTGCAAGCAGGCGGAGAATGAATCCTTTGACGACTTTTTTGTACGTTTGAAGAGTTTGTCAGAGGAGATCAACGTCTGCAAGGCGCACAGCTGGGAATGTGAGGAAGCCTGGATCAAGCACGGGATCTTGGCAGGTGTCAGGCAAGAAGAGTTTGTGCAGCGACTCATCCCCCTGGACGCTTCCTCCACACTCCAGGTGGTAGTGACTGAATGTCGGTCATACGAGGCCACCAAGTCCGCCACCTCTGCCTTACGGGTCCCACCTGCTGTGAGAGCTATCTCACAGTACAAGAAGGGTAAGAAGGCGGCCAACAACGTGAAGGCTGCCGCACGTTCTTCCACGCCTCCGCCCAGTGCTTCCTGTGGCAGCTGTGGAAAGCAGCATGGCCCCAAGACATGCCTGGCCGCCGACGCACTGTGTCATGGATGTGACCGTAAGGGCCACTGGTCTAACACAGACAGGTGCCCTCCACGAGGCCACAAGTGTCAGGCCTGCGGTCGCTATGGACACTACGACAAGTGCTGCCGCCAACCCAAGCCCAAAAGCCCGAGACGAGGAGGAAAGCAGCGCACTTCCCTCAGGGTGGTTCGCACGCAGCCCCCTTCAGATGGCCCACGCAGCCCCAAGCAGCAGCTGAGTCACATCAGGAGGGTGGAATCGACCACACGCCCCAGGGCTACCCCTTCCCCTACCATCCGCGTTGCCGTCACACACGGTGATGTGTCGGGTCACATCGAGGTGATACCGGACACCGGCGCTGATACTACGGTGATAGGCCTGAAGCACCTCCAGAAACTGGGCCTCACCAAACGCGACCTGGGACCACCGCCGCAGCTGCAGTACTACAATGCGAACGGTTCCCAGATGCCAGACGCTGTGGGCTCCTTTCAAGCAGAGGTCACCTACGGCGACAGGTCGTGTCACGGATGGATCGACGTGCAGCCTACTCTCGCTACACCCTTGTTGTCGTGGGAGCACTGCAAGGAGTTAGGCGTGGTGCCCAGAGACTTTCCTGAGCAGATCCCAGCTGCTCGGTACACCGCCAGCAGGGTGCGTGAATCACCGAGCGACGCGCCTGGCACTGTCGCACAGAGCTGCCCAGAACCCGCATCCACTCCCGCCCCGCCTCCACCCAAGTCACGGCTGCTTCCTCTTCACAGCGAGACGTCTCCTTCAGCCGCAAGGGCCTACTTCCTGAAGGAGTACTCGGATGTGCTGGTGACGAAGGAGGCCCTACAGACCGCGCCACTGAAGGCTATGGCGGGTCCCCCTATGAGGATACACCTGAGGGAAGATGCACAGCCGTTTGCCATACACACTCCCCGGTTGATCCCTCTCGCCTTCAGGGATTCAGTCAAGAAGGAACTGGATTCCATGGTGGCCCAGGGTGTCATCGTACCCGTTGGTGACGACCCGTCCCCTTGGTGCCACCCTCTAGTCGCTGTGGCTAAGACTAATGGTGGAGTGCGGATTACTACCGACTTGTCTAAGCTTAACAGCCAGGTGTCCCGTCCCGCCCACCCTTCACCCACACCTTTTGCAGCTGTACAGAGTGTGGACCCGAAGGTACGGCACTTCTCGACGATGGACGCCCTCTGTGGTTACTGGCAGATCCCACTGAAGAAGGAGGATCAGCCACTGAACACTTTCATCACGCCTTATGGACGCTTCCGCTACTGCCGTGGCCCTATGGGATTCGCTGCTACGGGGGACGCCTTCTGTCTCCGTGGTGACATGGCACTTCAAGGCGTGACCAACTGCGTGAAGGTAGTGGATGACGTCCTCCTCTACGATGAGTACTACCTGACGCATCTTCGCCGCATCGACGAGGTACTGACCAGGTGAAGGACGCACGGCATCACTCTGTATGCCGAGAAGTTCGTCTTGGCCGCACCTGCAGTGTCTTTCTGCGGCTACCGACTCTCAAGGGATGGCATTGCTGCGGACCCAGAGAAAGTTCGCGCCATAGCAGACTTTGCAAAACCTGCCATCCTTACGGATCTCAGGTCTTTCATGGGCCTGGTGAACCAGCTGGCAGAACTTTCTCCTGACGTCTCCGCCGCTGCCGGGCCTCTCCGCCCCCTGATGAGCCCCAAGAGGACTTTCACGTGGACCCCTGACCACGACCTCGCCATTCATAAGGTGAAGGAGGCCCTGTCAAGTCCACCTATCCTCGCTACTTTCGACCCAGCGCCCCCCACCGTCCTCCAGACAGACGCCTCGCGCCTGTACGGGGTTGGTTACGCCCTTCTCCAGGATCACGGTGGGGGAAAGTACCGGCTCGTACAGTGTGGCTCTCGCTTCCTCACCGATGCTGAGTCTTGCTACGCTACCATCGAGCTGGAGCTGCTGCCAGTGGTATGGGCCTTAACGAAGTG